CAGGTTGAGCTGTCGTTCAGCATCTTAGCTGTGGAGGGCAGTGTCACTGGCCCTCATATGTGGGATCCGAACCGGGGCCCTCTGGCATCCCAAGCCAGCCCTTAACCATCGCGCCACTCGGCAACAATGAATTTTTTTAAAGGCCATGGTGGTACTCAAATAAATACATAAATAAGTAAAAGGGGGCAACACTTATCTTTACAGAAGAATATCAGTTACTAAATTTAGAAGTAATGATAGAATTATAAAATCAACATTTTGTAATCCCTGGTGTAATAACTGATTCTGGCCATAATAGTAATGGATGTTGAAACCATTAGAAAAAAGACCTCTGGGAAACAGTTTATTCACATGGTCTCAAAATATGGCCCCATAGATTCCTGAAGTGCAATGTGAGCAGTATCATTATATTGGATAAACCCAATACTCACCACCTTAACCAAGTGACAAAACTTAGCATCACCAATAGTGGAGACCAGTTGACATTATGTGTCCCCTGATTTGAACCAAAAGTATACATATTTAACTATGTACTAATATTCTTGACAAACATTGTTTAATCTAAATCTAATCATGAAGAAACAATGAGGTAAAACCAGAATGTGGAACATTTTCCTGGCCCGAGTCTTCAAAACAATTAGTCATGAAAAACAAACAACAACAAAAATTATGGGACTGTCTCAGAAGAGACTAAAGAGAAATAACAACTAAATTCAGTTAATGGGAACCTTGATCCTGGATCGATTTGGGGTAAGAAAAGATATAAAAGACATTTTAGGGCCAGCCAAATGGCGCGTTGGTTGAGTTGGCTTGGGACGCCAGCTCTGAGCAGCAGGGCCCTGGTTCGGATCCCACATGAGGGCCAGTGACGCTGCGCCCTCTACAACTAAGATGGTAAACAACAGCTCGACCTGGAGCTGGGCTGTGTGTGGATCACCAGCGATGGCATAGGCTGCAGTGGGGCTGGCCGGCAGCGGTCTTGAGCTTTCGTGAGCTGCCATGAGCCGCTGTGAGCAGCCGTCCAGTGGCCGGTAAGCAACTGCCTCTCACAGGAAGAGCACAATGATAATAACAACATGGGCCAGTGAGGCAACGTCCCCCACAACTAGACTGAAGAACCAAAGGACAGCAGCCACTTGTGTGTTCCCCTCCCCAATTCCCCAATAAAATCTTAAAAAAAAAAAAAAAAGAAAGAAAGAAAGTAGAATAGAAGTTACCAGGGGCTGGGGAGAGTGAAAAATGGAGAGTTATCATTTAATGAGTCTATGCTAGTTTGGGATGGTGAAAAAGTTGTGGAAATAGATAGTGGTGATTCTTGCACAATATTGTGTATGTACTTAATGCCACTGAACTATGTACTTAAAAATGGTTAAAATGATAAATTTTGTATATTTTACCATAATAAAAATTAATTAGGGCCGGCCGAGTGGTGCGTTGGTTAGGAGTTGGCTTGGGACGCCAGCTCCTAGCAGCCGGACCCTGGTTCAGATCCCACATGAGGGCCAGTGACACTGTGCCCTCTACAGCTAAGATGGTAAACAACAGCTCAACCTGGAGCTGGGCTACTGTGAGTTGCTGGCCACAGCGTAGGCTGCAGTAGGCTGCAGTGGGCTGCCGTAAAGCTACTGTGAGTGGCTGGCAGCCAGCATGAGCCGGCGGCAGCCGGCATGAGCTGCCAAGAGCTGCCGTGAGCAGCCATCCAGAGGCCAGTGACCGATCTGCCTCACCCAGGAAGAGCACAGTGATCACAATACTAACATGGGCCAGTGAAGCGACATCCTCCACAACTAGACTGAAGAACCAAAGGACAGCAACTTGTCTGTTCCCTTCCCCCAATTCCCCAATAAAATCTTTAAAAATAATAATAAATTAGAAAAATTGTTCCTTCTCACTTCCTCAAGTTTTTATCATAACATTCCAGGAGAAAATTTAAAATATGAAAAAAAGAAAGAACATCCATTTGCTTTTCAAAACTTTAAATTAATTACTAAGTTAAACTTGGTGCCCAAAGAAAAAATGAATTATTGCAGCTTAGGTCTTAATCACACTGAACAATTACAAAACATTGAGTTTACCATCATGTTGGCTTAAGATTAAAGAATATCCATTGTTAGTCAAGAAGAGTTTTGCTGTTATTACTGTTCACCCCAACCTTTTTGTTTGAATAGGATTTTCAGGTTTAACTTAATTTAAAGCAACACAAAAACAAACAGAACAAAGAACAGGCTCTATGGTACACCAGATGTGCATGGGATATTGTCCTCTTATTTTCTGGACTGGCAAGCACACTTTCTGAATTAAAATCTTTCCTAATTTTTCCTTTCATGTTATTAATTTTGAGTTGTTTCTACATTGTATTTAAATACCAATAAAATCCTATTTGATATTAACTTATTATACATAACAAAGACAAGTAATGTTTTATGAAATTCCAATATATACATACACAGATGCACCATACTGAATCACAATGTAAAAAGGTTTTGTGTGTGTGTGTTTTTTTTTAAGATTTTGTTGGGGAATTGCGGAAGGGGAACAGCCAAGTTGTTGTCCTTCAATGTTAGTTGTGGAGGGCACAGCTAGCTCACCTCCAAGTCCTGTCACCATCCAGCCGGCAGCTCACAGCCGCTCAGCTCAAGGTGCCATGTTCAATCTTAGTTGTGGGTGAGCGTAGCCCACCATCCCATGCGGGAGTTGAACCGGCAACCTTGTTGTTAGGAGCACGTGCTCTCACCAGCTGAGCCATCCTGCCACCTGTTGGCAGCTCAGCGGCACCTCAGCTTGGGCGCAGCTCACTGGCCCATGTGGGAATCGAACCGCCAACCCTGTTGCTCAGAGCTCGTGCTCTTAACCAACTGAGCCACTCAGCCAGCCCTAAAAAGTATTTCTTATTGTGGGTCTTTGTCAACAAAAATTTTAAAAACATTTTCTAAACATTCTACAGTTTTAGGGCCGGCCTAGTGGCTCAGTTGGTTAAGAGCTTGCCCAAGAGTTCCAGCTCTGAGCAACAGCGGTTCGATGCCCGGCCCGAGCTGAATTGCCATTGAGCTGCCAACAGGTGGCAGGATGGCTCAGCTTAAAAAACAAAAAGAATAGGAATAAACATTCTACAGTTTTTATTTTGATTTCCTCTTTGACCTAGAGTTGCTTAAGAGAATTTTTAGTTTCCATGTTATTCATATTTGCTTCATTGCATTGTAGCCAAAGAGTATAGTCTAGGTTATTCTAATCTATTTCTCCTTATTGAAAAAAAGGTGTATTCTTTATTGCCTGTGTGTGTGTATGTTTGTGTATTTATATATTAGATCAACTTTATTAATTTTGTTATATAGAGCATTTACATTCAATACTTTTTTTTCAAGATGAAATTTTGGATTTACTTGCAAAAATAGTACAAAGAATAACTTTGTAATATCCCTTTTTCAGATTCCTCAAATGTTAACATTTCACTACATTTACTTTATGATTTGTTCGCCCACCCTCTCTTCATCCGTCCCTCCCCCTTCCCCCCACCTCTCTGCATTGGCAGCCATTCAACTCTGGTATTTTCAACACAGTTTAAGTGGAGAGTATGCCTTGGTGCAAAGTCTCTGTGTATTACATCATTCTCCACACCCAAGCTTCTATATGATGTGTTATCCATTGGGCAGCAATTATGAGATAAAGAATAAAAAATTAACACTCTGTCCTCTAAATAGAAATTCCAGTCCCTGTGTCTCGGAGACCACAAGATTCCCCCTACTGCCCACCCCCCCGCACCCCCAGTCTCATTACATAATACATAGAACCTCATGTGTCCCAGTGTTTTGCAGGCAGTCATTCCTGTTTCAAGTGCAATGGTAAGGAGCTTTCTTTGAAATAACAAATTTGTGCTTTTTTGTTTGTTTCTTTCTCCATGAAGATCTGAGGATGAGATGTTTTTAAAAAGGCTTTCTATGGATTATCTTGTGGGAAAGGACCCCAACGCTCCCCTTTTCTACAGAGAAGAAGGAAATAAAAAATTTCAGGAGAAGGATTATATGGGAGCCGCAGTTCTATATTCTAAGGTAAGGCACTCCCAGCTCAGCAGGAGGGGTTATTTCAACAGTTTCACAACATATATTTCCTCAAAAGATAGAGCCTTCTTGTCAAATGATATAGCCAGTGGTAACTTTGTCTATAATTTGTGGATTGGACTTGAAAAAGAAAACTGGCAGAATTCTGCTGTTGGTTATATTCTGAAACAAAAGGTAGTTTTCATTACATGTCCTGAATTCCATCAGGAAACTTCTATTCCCATATTTGTTCAGACAACTTATAACAATAGGCTTATTGGACCCCTTGTCCTGCCTTGCTCATGTCTGTCAGCTCATTGAATTGTATGCTATTTTGGTCTGAATGACTGATGAGGCTATTCATGTGATAGTCCCAATTTAGAGAGCAGCTAGATTTTTGGCTTTCCACAGTGTTAGATTAAGTTAGAAAGGAAAATAATTAAGCTCAATTGCCACAGCCCAGTTGAACTCCATTTTGAAGGTTGTCAACCAATATTTAAAATTACACTAACCATCAATGAGCTAGATTTTGATGAGGAATTGTGACTTTTATCAACTTGTTGCCCTACTTCCATAGTAGGAACTAGAACAAGATCCCTGAGAGACTTTCTTCCATAACTTTTTAGAGATAAATATGGGCTTAAACCAAGAATGTATCATTCCCTTGGACCAGGTCTGTGATCTTGTATATTAAAAGAATGAATGTAAATTTGAAGGTGGACCCCACTCTGAACCTTTAACTGGCCTATGCTTAAAATTTGGAATTAGTTTTCCAAAAACTATCAGACCTACAATAGCAACTTCTATAATTAATAAAAGCCCTACTTTGTAATGTTATAACAAAGTATTTAGCTGACTAATGTAAGCATTAGTGATTGCTAAAGAATTAAAACCCATTAGATGTAATAATGATCCACTGATAAATGGCTTAATGGTTCTTTTTCATAGCTAATCTCTTCCACTTTATGCATGTGCATCATAAATGTGATCACGTGGGAAGTTGTTCATGGAAAACAAGTAAAATAAAAAGTGAAATCAGACAAAAAGTTAAGGCTTGCTCTGGATGAGGAGGGAGATGAGCCTATTTCATGAAGCTAGTATTTTGGTGATTATGGTACTTTGCAATTTTCTATAAAGCTGCTATTTTCTTTCTTTTTTTAAAATAATATTTGTTGTTTTTGATTGCAAATGTAATATATGTTTACATGGAAAATATAGAGAAGCATAAAGAGTAAAAAAAAAATCCCATAACCAATGATAGGTACTGTTAACATTTTTGCTTATACCCATCTAGCCACATTTTCCTCTGAAAATATGTTTTTCTTTTACGAAATTGGGATAATGCTATACTTAATGTTTTGTAACCTGCTTTTTTCCCTCGACAATTTATTGTAATCATTTTCTCATGTTATTAAATTTTCCACTAGAACATGATTTTTTACGGCTGGCTTAGTGTTCCATTACAGAGAACTATACTTGATTTAACATCTAATGTTGGCAGATTGTTTTGTTTCATAAAGCTGCAAGGAGCATCTTTCTATGTAAATATTTGTACACATCTGCTTATTTCCTTAGGATTAAATTCCTAGAAGAGCAATTGCTGGGTCAATTGAATATATTTTTTAAGGCCTTTGATACTTGATGCTAAATTGTTCTCCAGGGAAGAACTAGTTAACATCCCTTCTAGCACAGTATGGGAATGTTTATTTCTCTATATCCTAAGCTATATTGGTTATTATGGTTGTATTATTATTTTATCTATTTATTTTTGAATAGGAAATGTGTTTATGCATACATAGTTAGAATTCAAAAGGTGCAAGAGTATACAGTGTAGTTTATTCCTTCTGTTCCCTAGCCACCTAATTTCCCATACCCAGAAGCTAGCACTGTTAAATGTCTCTTTCCAGAGGTACTTTGGCATCTATAAATAAATACAAATAGTCTCCCATTCCTGCACACACATACTTTTTTTATTTAAATAACATTCTGTATGCACTCTTAAGCACTGCACTTTTTTACTTAATAATATCTTAAGATCATTTTTATATGCGTGCATAAAGTTCTTCCTTATTCTTTTCTTTTTTTTAATTTTTTTATTGTGAAATAAACATTTTTTAATTAGTTTCAGCTGTATAACACAGTGCAGTAGTTATACTTTTTACCCCTCAAAGCGACAATCCCCCTCCCCCAATCCGCTGCCCCTCTACCCCCATATCATACATATCTATTACAATTCCCTTGACTCCACTCCCACACTATACTCCATGTCCTGTGACTATATATATATTCAATTATAGTCCCGTGATTATATATATATATTCAGTTATAGTTGACATACCATATTATACAACATCAGCTTCAGGTGTACAGTGCACTGATCAAGCCTCTACCCCATCCATGAAGTGGTCTCCCTAACAAGACATGTGACCATCTGACACCCTACAATATATTTACAACGTTATTAATTATATTCCCCAAACTGTCTTTCATATCCCTGTGGCAATATTGTAGTTACCTATTTATGCTGTCTAATCCCTTTCCCTTCTCCCTCATCCCCAACCCTCTCCCAAGTAGCAACCATCAGTTTTTTCTCTATATCTTTGAGACTATTTCTGTTTACTTTGCTCGTTCATTTAGTTTTTTAGATTCCACCTATAAGTGAGATCATATGGTATTTGTCTTTCTCCGACTGACTTATTTCACTTAACATAATAGTCTCTAGGTCCATCCATATTGTTGCAAATGGTACAATTTTATTCTTCTTTATAGCGGAGTAATACTCCATTGTATAAATGTACCACAGTTTCTTAATCCAGTCATCTACCGATGGGTATTTCAGTTGTTTCCAAGTCTTGGCTATTGTAAAGAGTGCTGCGATAAATATAGGGGTGCATATATTTTTTCGAATTAGCGTCTTGGGTTTCTCTGGATAGATACCCAAGAGTGGAATTGCTGGGTCATATGGTAGTCCCATTTCCAGTTTTTTGAGATACCTCCATACTGATTTCCATAATGGCTGCACCAATCTGCAGTCCCACCAACAGTGCACCAGGGTTCCCTTTTCTCCACAACCTGGCCAGCACTTGTTGTTTGTTGATTTATTGATGATAGCCATTCTGACCGGGGTAAGGTGATATCTCATTGTGGTTTTTATTTGCATTTCTCTAATGATTAGTGAGGTTGAACATTTTTTCATATGCCTGTTGGCCATCTGTATGTCCTCTTTAGAGAAATGTCTCTTCATGTCCTCTGCCCATTTTTTAATTAGGTTGTTTGTTTTTTTGGTGTTGAGTTGAATGAGTGTCTTACAAATTTTGGATATTAACCCCTTACCAGATATATCATTGGCAAATATCTTCTCCCATTCAGTAGGCTGCCTTTTGTTTTATTGATGATTTCCTTTGCTCTGAAAAAACTTTTAAGTTTGATGTAATCCCATATGTTTACTTTTTCTTTTATTTCCCTTGCCCGAGGGGATATATCCGTAAAAATATTACTGAGGGTAATGTCTGCAAAATTTACTCCCTATGTTTTCTTCTAGGAGTTCTATGGTTTCAGGTCTTACATTTAAGTCTTTAATCCATTTTGAATTTGTTCTCATACATGGTGTAAGTAGGTGGTCCATTTTCATTTTTTTGCACATGTCGGTCCAATTTTCCCAGCACCATTTATTAAGTAGACTATCTTTACTCCACTGTAAATTCTTGCTTCCATTGTCACAGTTTAAATGACCGTATATGGATTGGTTTATTTCTGGGCTCTCTATTCTGTTCCATTGGTCTGTGTTTCTGTTTTTATGCCAGTACCATACTGTTATGATTACTGTAGCCTTGTAGTATGATTTAATGTCAGGTAGCATGATACCTCTCACTTTGTTCTTATTTCTCAAGATTGCCATGGCTGTTGGGGGTCTTTTATGGTTCCATATAAATTTTAGGATTATATGTTCTATTTGTGAGAAAAATGTCCTTGGTAGTTTGATAGGAATTGCATTGAATCTATATATTGCCTTAGGTAGTATTGACATTTTAACTATATTTATCTTCCTATCCACGAACATGGTATGTATTTGCATTTATTTGTATTTTCTTTGATTTCGCTCTTCAGTGTCTTATAATTTTCTGAGTACAGGTCTTTTACTTCTTTGGTTAAATTTATTCCTAGATATTTTATTGTTTGTGAAGCAATTGTAAAAAGGATTGATTTCCTTATTTCTTCTTCTGATGGTTTATTATTGGTGTATACAAATGCAACGGATTTTTTAATAT